GAAAAACAGGAAATTGAAATTATCTGGCTATTTTTGACCTACAAAAACAGATTTTTAATAAGGCGCAATCCAATTGGGTAAACTAAAATAAAAACCCAGGTATTAATAGAAACCCTTTATACTAATGAGTAGAACTAATGAGGTAACCATTGGTCTCAGCTCTGTATTTGTCTTCTCACACCTTACTGCAGTCAGAGGCTCTATTCTGAGATACCTGTGTTGCCGTGGCCAGGGTGCTAGAATGCAAGGTCATGTAGTAGCTGGCTAAGAGCCAGGTGGAATTCAGGCAAGGACAAGTCCCAGGATTGGGTGATAACCTTGCTTCAAGTTCTGTCTGCCCCTCACCCCACAGTCAGTCAGGCTAGTTTTCAGGAGGCAACGGTGACAGAGGGCTCAGTCGAGCTGAGGGAATGATTTCAGCAACTGCACTGGGACCGCTTTCAAGGACTTGGAGCCCCCTGTCAGGACACCGCAGCGAGTCTGGGGGTCTGTCCAGCTTTTCTCCTGCTGCTCCTCCTGGACCTGCCTGCTTTACTGTCATCCCAAAGGCCAACACTCACAGTGCCTTGAATTCTCACTGCAAAGGCAAGAGTACTTGCTGGGTTGAGTTAGTCACTGTTCAATGTGGAACCTCAACAGACAGCTGACATAGATTCAAGGACCAACTGTATAATTTATGGGCCCAGCACAAAATGAAAATGTGGGTCTCTTGTTAAAAAATCATTACAAGTTTCAAGACAGCAGTAGCAGAGCATTATTCCCAACCGAGCACAGGCCCTTTTGAGCGGGGGGCCCAGTGCGACTGCACAGGTTGCACACCCACGAAGCTGGCCCTGGTTGGCTCAGATGCAGAGGCCAGAGCCACCCATGGTGAAGCCAGGAGGGCCGTGAGATATGAAGCCCCTGCAAGACACCACCCAGCTGCCTTTCCAGGCCTGCCCCTGCCCACCCTTTCTACAGGAGCTCACTGCTGGGGGCGTGGCGCGGCAAGGAACACTTAATGGTGGTAAGGTAGGGCCAGATTAAGAAAGCTTTGGAAACTTAATGGATTATTCTTAGATGATGCCTAAATTATCCAAATGATTTCACATGAAGAGCTGGGAAATAGCCAGTTGAAAGAGCCCCAGACTTGACCATGAGTTGGAGTCACAGGTGGGCAAAATTCCTGATTTCAGCCCTCTTTTTCTGTAACTAAGGTTCTGAACTGCCCTCACCTTCTGTGTGTCCTCACTCCCCCACCTCCACAAAGCATGAGCGAGGAGCCCACTAGCTGAGCTGCCCAGTAAAGCCTGGAGGGCCAGAATCCCAGGGAGGCTGCACTTTCCTCGCATAAACCCCTGCCCAGCTCTTTGGGCAGCCCAGATATGCAGAATCCCTTCCAAGCAAAAGACCACATTTATTCAGGACCTTCAGTTTCAGAGTTTGCTAAAGGATCAGCCAGTGATTTAAACTTTCTAAAAGACATGGAGCGCTCCCTGCTGGGTATTATGTAGCATTGACATTAAACTGTCCTCTGCCAAAGCACCCAAATCTAAAACTATACCTTAGGGCAGCGGTCCCCAACCTTTTTGACACCAGGGATCTGTTTCGTGGAAGACAGTTTTTCCACAGAACGGGGGGCCGGGAGGTGGTGTCGCCGCCTCTGCTCCACCTCGGATCATCAGGCATCGGATTCTAAAGGGGAGCGTGCAACTGGGATCCCTCGAATGCGCAGTTTGCAATAGGGTTCGCGCTCCTAGGAGGGTCTGATGCCAGGCTCGGTTGGTGACCCGAGCGAAGGGGAGCGACTGTGGCTGCAGGTGGGCTTCACTCTCGCCAGCCCTCACCTCCTGCTGTGCGCCCGGTTCCTGGAAGTCCGCGGACCGGGTTCACCATCTCACTGGGTGCAACCAGCGAGTGGGCCGCCTTAGGGAATTAACTTTGTTTAAAACCCAGTGACAACAGTAGGATCCATGGTAGCAAAGTTTCAAATTATATATGAGTTTGGTAAAAGGTTGAATTTTTTAATGTTTCATGACTCCTGGGATTCTAATAAAAATTCTTTTAGTTCTTTGTCTCAATTATAGAAACAAAGTAAACATTTTGAAGTTCTGAGTGTTCTGACAGTATTTTCTTCCCATTTCAGAATGGGTGGGTCATGGAAGGTTTTATGGGGTGGGGATAACATGGTCTGGGGAGAGCACATGGGTTTGGGGATCAGATAGCATAAGTTGGAATCCATTTACTATTTGAGTGACTTGGAATAAGTCCTTTAACATTAACCTTAAGTCATTTAAGTCATCATCTCCTGACCAACGAGGACAATGATATCCACTCCAGCCAGGGCCGGAATTCATGTGCATTAAGGCACAGAGAAGTGCTTGATTAATCATGGTGTCACCTTTGCTGTACTATTAAGATGTGGGTCTAAGTTGATCTTCAAAGGAGGGGCAGCTCCAGGACTGAGATTCTGTTTCTATAGAATAGGGGCTGTATCTGGAGTCCTGTGTCTGGCTCGGAGATCTCGATACCCCTGGGTCATAAGGGCAGTGCTCATGCTGGGCACTTGAATCTCTTTAGAACCACACGGCCATGATCCAGGGTGCTGGCTTCATGAAAAACACCTGGCACTGGGCAAGTCTGGACAATTCCACTTCTAAGAGACATCCCAAGTCCCTCCATTTCTACCTCCATCTTGCTGGTCCAACCCACCACCATCTGGATAAAGACCTCTCATCCTCAGTCTATCTGGGTCATTGCTGCTGCAATGGTCATTGCCAAGTCTGAAGGGCCCTTGAAGGAGGTGACTCCAAGGCTTGGAGTCTTTCCCCAGTCTGAGAGACTCAGGGCTGAGGTTTGGGTCTCTTTCAGGGCACCCCTGCAAACCATGAACCTCTGAGGTTCACCATCTCACTGGGTGCAACCAGCGAGTGGGCATAGCTTTCTACTATTCCTAAGAGGCTCTTGTCTTCATATTCTCTCCTCTCTCACCTTCCCCAGCTTCCCAAACAAGGGGTAGGGTAATTTTGGGGCATGTCTGCTTTCTACTGTGCATGGGAAGGACAAAGGACCTGGCCACTTCCTTGGAGAGTGGAAATAATTCAGAAACAAAATCAGTACTTTAAATTATGTGCTATAGATGCTACTTACAACTCCCCTTGATTATCCAATATAAATCAGGTCCCCTCCATATGCTCCTATGCCTGCAGTAGTCACTGTTGGTGCCCGGGTGCCCTTTACCTGGTCTGTGTACTATTCCCCAGCTGCTGGGTATTGGCTGCCAAAGGCTCATGGCTGTACCCTCTCTGGCAATGCCCAGGAGGCTATGCTCTCTCTGGGGGATGGCAGGAGGGGCAGAGTCAATGACTGAATAATTCGTACTGAGTATGTGGGCCTAGCCCCTTGCATTAGGGTGGGAAAGCTGTTGGTGCCAGCACGGTCTGGAGCTCCCGTGGGAGCAGACTGAGGCGAGACTTCAGCTGACACATCTTTGCTCAGCTTCTTTCCCTGCTCTATCCTGCTTCTCTCACAGGGCTCTCCTGAGAGCACAACCTCCATAAAACACTTGCAAAGAAAACTCTGCTTCAGGCTTTGCTTCTAGGAACCCAACCTAAGTCACATCCTTTATTTTTCCTTCCTAGCTTATGCACAATTTGAAACCACAGATTTATATGGCTATTGGTTTAATGCTTGTATCTCCCCCACTAAACAAAGGCTTCATGAAGGCAACCAATAGATGCCTTAGAGGAATCATATTCTGATTCAGTTGAAATCAAGGTAACTTCCATATTTTATTGGTCTCCCGATATTCCAGGGAAAGGCTGGGCTGGATTCCTAAGAACATTCATCCAGTTCCTAGATGTTAGTGTCTTACATATTACATACTGCAAGTTGTAAAATCCTCATTTAATAACAATGTAAAAGAACTGTGGCATACTAGGTACTTCAATTTTTTGAAAAGCTTTGCATTCTCTTGGTATGAATTTTTTCTAAACATCATAATTCTCTTTTCTATTAGATTGTCTTTCTTTGGGTTTTTATTCCAAAGATAAATCATTTCTAGGCAGGACCACTGATGGAGAGGGAAGAGATCAGTCTGGATCTGTCTGGATTACAGGGTAGTTGTTACAACCATGTTTCTGATTGAAACTCTAAAATAAGCTCATTTGTTTTGTGACGTACTTCTTCCTCCTAAAAGGCAGGTAAACAAAAAGACCCAAGTGAAAAGAGGATGAGAAGAGATTTAGATTATTCTGTTTTCAGTTTTTTCAATGAGGGATACAGATGTATAAGCCAGAACTTCTTCCTACAGAGTTTACATGTTAGAGAACATGAAAGACACTGTTTAACAGAGGCAAATAATTCCAGGAGATAAATATACATGAATGTGTTTCAAAAAATACAGGTTCTTATACAAATGTATAACTAAATACTGATTCCATGGTGGTTTGGTTTATCTGAAAGGGCTTTGAGAAAATAAGAAATGCCATCACTAGATAAAACTAGTGGTCCACATTGCCAAAGAGCCTTTCCAGCAGTGCCAAAGGAAGTTGTAGGGACAGCAGAGGTTAACTGTCAGATAACTTTTTAATCTGTAAATTTACAGAAGTTTGAAAATACCATGGAGAATCTTAGGAATCCCAGTAATCAGTGAATGGGATATCTATAGATCCATAACATCTACAGGCTAAATCCACTCAGAATGCTTCTCAAAGTGGGCGTGGGGGGTATGAGAAGTTAATAATTCTCCTTCTGTCTGGCTTCCTCTTTGCCTTTCCCTCTCCTATCTGCAATCACCTGTGTCACAGGACACGTATAAGTAGGTGGGAGGAGTTAAACTTTGACAGTAAATCAAAATCAGAGTTAAAGGCAAATGTTTAACTAGTCGCGTTTACACAAGCTACTGAATGAAGAGTTTTAGGGTTTAAAGAGTCAAATATTCTACACTCCTGAGAAATCTTAGTTTCTCATTCTGGTGAATATTTTCACATTGCATCTTGCTGCTATAAACTAACTGAGTATACATTTTTGAGTACTGATTTACTACTCAAAAGATTTGAATTAGGGGACTAAAAGAAAACATTTTGTATCTGTGTATTTTATAAAAATGCATCATAAGGAAGGAGCCACGTGTCAGTTTCCAATGGGGGGAACATTCTCATGGAGGTACTGTAAGGCTAAGTCTGTCCACTTCATTTCTTGCTCTTTGACAGATTCTGTGGTGCCACCGTTGTCTTGTTCAGGTTCAGGAAGCTCATTCTGAAAAGGTACAATGGACATTTAGAACAGTAATACATTTTGTATAAACCTCTTAAAACTCAAGAGCACTTAGAATTAAAACCTGTGAGTTCCTAGGAACAGGCAACATAACTGACATATGTACTCTAAAGAAAGAACTAAAATAAACAGATGCAAGAAAAATATCAGAAGTATCATACAAACATGGCCTGGTCCCTCTTCAGTAGGGAACGACGGGCATTATGACTCTGGCGTTTGTGCAGCAGGCAGTGTGGCAGAAGGGCTAAAGGCAGAGGCTTTTGGAAGCCAACTAGGATCGAAGCCCACAGCTCTACCATTTGCAGGGTTACTTGACTGAGGCATTCAAATCCTTGAGGCCTTTGTTTCCTCTTTGGCAAATGGGAGAAAATAGCCATTGCCTCACAGGACTGCTGTAAGGATTAAGTGAGGTAATTTAGATAAAGTGGCTAGCATTGTGTGGGCATCCAGTGCTCAAGGAATCTCTGCTATTATTATTAGTGGCTAGGAACACTGAAAAAAGCCAATACTAAATCTTTTTTGGGAAATGTGCTTTAAAAGAATATGAGATTTGCGGGCATATTTCTTAAGCATTAGAAATGTATCCAAAAAACTATCCTGTAACCAACATGCCTATATTATAATGAAGGTGGAGATGTAGGGGAAACACTGGAAATGTAACATATTACATTTTAACAGCTAATAATAGATAAGACCTCCCCCTCGTGGTGGAGCAGGGCAATATAAGACACAGCAAATGACCAATCACGCCCTACCAGCAATTTTCTTAAATGGTAAGCCATGGTTCATGCTTAGTGCAGAATCTGGGATCATTTCCTTGTATTTTAAATTTAAATTTATTAATACTGAAACTCTGCTTTGTACCAGAGTTCACTGATAAATTTCTTTTCTATTATCTGAATTTACATTCTGTTTTAGGGTTCGCAAACTGTTATTCAATATCCAGACTTATGATTTCCCACTGGATTCTAATTTTCGGTTTGCGAATATGTTTTTCCCCTTTAAAGTTATGTTCAACATATATTAAATGATATTTACTCACAATACATGTAAGTATATTTGAATCACACACATCTTGCTCTACAAATGTAAGACTGAGATTCAAACATACTTGTACAGATTGAAAAGAGCTATCATTTATTGTAAATGCAAAAATATACTTAAAAAACAAAATCTGGTCCTAATAATTACTTATAGATAACAAAGAATAAACAGGTCCTTGGTTAATACATTATTTTCAGAAGCAGGCAACTTTTTTTAATTTCATCCTATCTGTGGTATGTTTTTTAAAATAATGTCTTTCCTTTGGTGACTATTGTCTTTTGCAATGAATGCCAACACACAAAATTGCACATGTACCTGGAAAACAAGAGTATCATAAACACAACCATCAGTATGGTTTACTGCAAAACAGCTGTAGTTCTTTGCAACTACTCCTATCAAAAGGTGGAATCCATTTCCCCAGTTTTGGATTTGGACTGGCCATGCGACTTGCTTCGGCCAATAAAATGCAGTTATGGTGCCAGTGGGCCAGTTCTTGGCCTAGATGCAGTTTCTTCTCATGCTGCTCTTGGAACCCTGAGCCTGAAAGTCTGGGCTAGCCTGCTGGATCATGGCAGACCATGGACTAGTTGTCCCAAAATCCAGCTGACAGCTTGCTAACTGCCAGACATGTGAGACAGTCCAAGATCACCCAGCCTCCAGACAGTCTGTCGGCTGCATGCACAATACAAGCGAGTCTAGCAGGGATCAGCTGAGCTGGCAGAGACCAGAAGACCCTCTCAGCTGAGCTACAAAATTATGAAATGAACAGTTTTTGTTTTAAGCCACTAAGTTTTGGGGTCATTTGTTATGCAGCAAAAGCTAACTTGACATACACACCGCCTTAGAATTACAAGACAAGGGAAAAGGTATGGGTTAGCTAGAGGGTGAGGCTACCGTCTGAAAGTCAGCAGGGATATGTCCCTTTCCCTCATCCCCTACTACACAAATGGTCCCTAATCCATGCCATCACATCTCCAGAATTTGGCAAGTCTCCTCTATTTTCTTGACTTTGTTCAGGCCCTCCTCCCTTGCCTAGACCCCTGCAAGAGCTTCCTAATTGGTCTCACTCCCCCTTTCTCTATGTCAGACCATCTCTAATAAAGCTACTAAACTGATTTTCCAAAAGCCAGATCTGAGCATGGCAGTCTTGTTCTGAAGACCACTCATTGCTGGATCTCTTGCAGATGAGGTCTAAGTGTGGCATCAGATACTTCTTTCAAAATCTGGTCCGAGCCCAACTTTTCAGCCTACTTAGATGACAAATGTATTCTCCATCTACACTGAATGTCTCACCATCTCCCAAAGCCTTTCAAAACTCTGGGCCTTTACACACCTGTCCTCGCTGGTGCAGTGACCTTGTCTACCCCAATGCAACTTCTGGTCCTTCCTTACAACACAGCTTAAATATTACATTCTTTCTGAAGCCTTTCTGATGCCCACCAACCAATCAGCCACTTCCTCTACGATGTGGCTATTCACACCCCCACTTAGATCACGTATCATTTTAATTATTTATTGATATGTGTTGCCTCTCTAGATTCCACAGGGGCAGGAACCATATCTTGTGTTCATATGGCACACAGTAGGCTTCAAAAAAAAAATGCTTGTCAAGTGAATGAATCAACAAAAGCTCACAAGGCAGGATTTGAAACTTCACAGACTTAGGTATAAAGTCCAACTTAACAGCTACCAGACTTTGGGCAAGTTCCCTTCTCTGATCTTATTCCTTTCCTATAAAATGGGGATCATACCACCTTCTTTGCAGTATTGTTTTAAGGATTAGAGATAAGGTATGTCTTCAACCTCAGTTCCCAGCATAAACTGGTATTCAATAAATGGCAGCTATGATTCTCATTATGCTCTCACATTTGACTACATTCCTAAACTTGAACTAAGCTGTGACTTGTTCTTTGATATGTATATTAATTGAACATATTACTCTTATTTTTAAATGAAAATGTGGTTGAACTATTTTATTTCTCTAAACAGCAGCACCTGGACAACCTACCTGTAAATTACATTTTATTAACCACTCTCCTCAGGTCAGCTGGCAGGCTTTAAAGAAAAACAGTCCCCCGGCCCTGTTTTCCTTTTGTTAGGCCTCTGTGACATAAATAGGATTTTTAATAAACTTTTATTTACATAAGCAAAACTTTTGGATAACTTATTACATGAAGTTTAAAATAATCCTTGCAGGGAAGTTTTCCAGAGATTAGGGAAGAAAAGAATATTCCAGGAGCCTGTTGGCCTGAATGCAAAAAAGTCAGGTATCTTCTGAATATTCTCCAGGGAACCTAGGATAGGTGTGTGTTCTAAGAATGTGAATTTCTAAATATGTCAACAGACTGACAAGCCACAGGCAGGGAAGTAAGAAACAGCATTTATGCTGCTGCTTTTTATCTTACACATTAAATTCTCATTTTTTGATTTATTTCTGGCTTTGGTGTGAAGGACAGAACACAGGTCAGAAACTCTGGGCTCCAGTCCTGGAGTGACCCCTAACTGAGCTGGCTATATTTCTGAACCACGTTTCTCTTCAAATAAAAAGTGGGCGTAGGTGCTCTCCAGAGGCTTCTGGAGTTAGAGAACTCCACAGCTTTCATTTCTTTGCCCTACTAATCTTCCATTGATATCCCACCTCCACTAGGTACTGCCAGATGATATCTTTAACCCATCATCCTCAGCTTAAATCATAACCTACCAGTGGTATAGCAACGTCTTCATAAGGCAGCTTGTCTTCTCGCCAAGCATCGTCAATCAAATCCAAGATCCTTCCATCTCTCTGTACCTCACTGTCCATTTTCCTGCAGCTTTGCTTTTGTCAGATCTGTAAACCAAAGAGGTCATTTCTTAACTGTGAAGACTGAGATGGTGAGTACTAGGATTTCCCAGGTTTTTCAGCCTGGAGTCATTTTTTTGGCACAGCACCCTCAGAAAAGCTCATTTTCTCACATGGGTCAGGTGACAACTTACATTTATGAGACTATAGTCTCACCATAGTTCCTCCCCATCTACCTGCTGATAGATGCTTTATACTGTACATTAGACAGACATAGCCCAGTTGACAGACAAGTGTGAGAGTGTGACAAGAGGGCAACATATTCCTAAATGAGGCCCTCAAACACGTTGCATCTAAATGTAGCATTTCTCTCCCAGCTTGCACATGCACCTTTCCCTGTTCATGATGCCTTTGATGAGTCCCTGACTCATAACTGTTTCCTAAGTCTCCTCTCCAGCCCCTCTAGACTTGCCAGTGTCAATTTTATAAAAATTTCCACCTGCTTTGGTTCAAACCTCAGCATTCTTAGGCACAGGAGCTAAATGAATATACTGAGATAACACTGAACTGGACTGTGCAAAGTGACCCACTACAGGCCTGACACAAATCCTCAAGGCAAGAACGATGTCAGAAGTTGAGCTTGTAAAGGAAACTGCTTTCTTTCTTAAAACAGCACCCAGGCTGAGCTCTGAAAAAAGCACCTCCAGGTCAACAACAGTGGCAGAGACCTGTATTGCTCCAGTTTCTACTTTCCTTCGGGGTTCCTTCCCCTTCTTAAGTGTTAATGCTACAGCCCCTTCAATGCCCGGCCCAAGTGGTCAAGATGCTTACTTAGCTCTTTGACCATAGTGGATTACCCATTTTTCTCCCGAACAGCTGTAATCTAAGCTAAAAGGCTGGCCAGCTGAGAGGATACCTTTGGGTTCCCTGTTTCCAGGTTTAGGTCCTGTTTCCTCATTGTAGGCATCACCCTACTATCTGAAGGCCTGGAAGCAACTGGCACCAAAGGCACTCTCAGTCACTCCCAGTTTCTGAGACTTTGGAGTCTCATACAACAAACAATTTTTTGAGGGGCGAAACTCAACTATGTTATACAGGCCTGTGTTTGTCCCCAGTAGTATAACTGTAAAATATCTCTAATATCTGGGTATTAGAGATACCCAGATTGGGGAGGGGAAGGGTTTTTGGCCCCATGATAAATTGCAGGCAAAAGTGAAGCAAAAGGTGCCCAGCTACTTCTGTCACCAGTGAACCAGGTGAGGTCTTAATGTTTCACTCAAGAATTAATGCAGTACTACACAGTGGATAACTCAATTTGAAGGATCGTGTCTTTAGGAAAATCCTCAGTTCCAGTTATACTTTTGAAGTCCTGCCCTACAAGAGCTCTCCTCTCTGCTGTTGCCACTCCTTTGTCCTTGCTGCTCTGGCCCCTAGGATACCCTTCTCACTTCTCTCTGATCCAAATCTTCTGATTTTCCAAGGCCCACGCAGATTCCACCTTTTTGTAAAGTTTTTCCAAATCACTCCGGCTTCAGCTGGGCTTCTGTCCTTGAACGCTTGCTGTTTGTCCTAACTTGATCTGCTAAACAAGTTAGGTCAGCTTTGTGACCGACTGCTCAAGTATTATTGTCTTTAACCGTTATGTGTAAAGTTTGCACCAGTGATTCCTTAGCAGATCTTTCCACAACTCGGCCTCAGTCTTTTTCACCTGTCCCTCTTCCAAACACCTCCAACCCTTTCTCACTTTCCAGTCTTTGCACTTAAAAGCCCCTTTTCCTCATCACTAATGCCTTTCAAGCAACATGGGCGTCAGCTCTTCTAGGTCAACATCCCATTTCCAGGGTTAAGCGCTAAGGTGCCTTCATCCAGGCAGGCAACGCGCAGGGCACGGCCACTGTCCCAAGCACTCGCCACAGTATGACCACTACCAGTCTCTTGAACAAACTTTTCTCATACATGCCATAGTCCCAATGCCTGGAATGCTCTTTTCTCTTCTTTTCCCGGGGAACCCACAATCGGTCTACAAATCTTAGCTCCCTGATCGCCTTCCGTAGGAGGCCTCCTCTAACCCCTGGCTGAGCGCGGTACGGGTACCCACCCTCCATCCCCCGGTCTCGCAGTTCCCTGGGCTGGGCGCGACGTATGGCACCAACTGAGGAGCTTGTCACACTGTCCAGACACGCAGTGCCTGCGTTCCCCAGGACTGGGGCACGTTTTATCCATCTCCGTATTTTACAGCTTTGTAAACATGTGATTTATATGATCGAGGCGGGAAAGTTTTTCCCTCGCTAGAAATGACTCTAGCAGGCCACCATCGTCCGTAGCAGTGTGTGACGCCATCCCCCAGGAGTGGCTTCCGGCCTCAGGCAGGATATACCAAATGTGGAAGTGAAGGGCGGGGTCTAAGAGCGCCACGCAAGTCCCTTTCCGCCCGACACAGCATGCAGTAAGGGAAATGATTACGAGCACGAAGTGAGGGCCTCAGCCTAGACCGAAGGCAGGAGGAAGTCCGACACTGAAGAACGAAGGCGTTCCCACCCTGCAAGACCTAGACGGGGGACGCTAAAAGCCCTTACCCGCGCCCGGCCCACCGGAGCACCCGCTTCCTCCGACCGCGCCCTTGGCATCACGTGACCCGCACGCTCCACTCTCAGATCCCGGATGTGGGTGAGCTCATTCGCCGGCGCGGAGGAGAAGACCGTGTTTCTATAAAAAGCGAGGGGGCGGTGGGCGGGACCGACGTGCCGACGATAGAGGTTGGGCGTAAGGTCGGCGGTGACGCGCGTGCGCAGCGCGGGCCCTAGGTAACGGCGGGAAGGCTCGAGCGCGCTCGTGGCTGTCCTGTAACTGTTGTGCACTCGTAGGACGGGCCAGGGGCGGGCCTCTCCTGGTCCGGAGGCGGCCCCGGCTGCAGTGGCGCCGCTGGCCCCGCGGCCTCATGGCCTACGGCTGGTTCCCGGGGCAGCCCGCAGGGCACCAGGCCCGTCCCCGCCGGCCTGGGTCCGCTCGGGCGCGCCGCCCCTTGGCCTCGCCACCCACGCCCTGCAGATCGGCGGAGGCGGGCATGGCCCCGCTTAGGGCGCCGTTCGGCTCCGCCAGGTGGTCAGCCCTCCCTCGGAGGCCCGGCTGGCGGGAGGGCGCTTGGAAGGGTGGCGGGGTGGGCGAGCTGCTCCCGAGGTCTCGTCTTCCCCCGCACAGCCAACCTGCGGGCCGGTCCCCCTGCTCAGTGGAGGGACCCCCGGCATAACCTCCCTGCCTGTCTACTGTATCTAGCTAGCGGTTCTTAGCATTGTCGCGGCTTATTTATGGCCCATGATACCGGCTCTTTTATGGTGAGAAGTTAAGGTTAGCAACTTTTAAGAAAGAGTTGGTTTAAACGTAAACATTAGTACAGGAGGAACGGAAATGTGGCAAAAATCGTGAAGGACTGAAATTGGGGAACCCTGAACTTAAGCACACAAATCAGCGATGGAAGTAAACGATAGAAGATTTAAAAAGGATAATTTCTTAGGAACACTTTAATCATGAAGATACTTGAAGACAGTCCATCTAGGCACATAATGTGGTTTTTTTTAGAACATCAGGAGAGTAAAGATGAGTGATGTCAGAGATTAGTCTTCATTTACAATTGCAGTGCAGTATACTTGCACAAAGTAGTTTCCCTGAGCTTTATACCCGACTCCTTAAACCAATTTAAACCGATTTTTTTAAAAAAATATTTTATTCCTTTAATAAAGCAGTATTGTAGGGTAGATGCCTTGTATTTATACCTCAC